AGCAGCAGCAGCAGCAGCAGCAGCAGCAGCAGCAGCAGCAGCGGCGGCTATGTGCAATAAGAAATAAAATCCTCAAATTCTTAAAAATGATACATTTAAAAATATATACCATGAACAAGTCACTGGGATTGAACACTGTATTGATCCAGTAATTTGGTTTTGTGTTTGTTTGTTTGTTTTTTGTGGAACTGGGGATTGAACTCAGGCCCTTGTCTACTGAGCTATCTCCCCAGCCCTGATCCAGTAATTTGTATTAATTCTTTCAAGTTAAAATACTTGGAAAAAGCTTTCTGAATGGTTGTTTTAAAATTCTTTCCCCACTAAAAAAAGTGGGATTGAACTTAGTTTTTTGCTTTTCATCGCAGAACTGATCACTCCCTCTTACATACCTCTATCCCACCTAGTGTTACAAACACGCACATACACACCCCCACCCCCACCTAGTTTGAGGCCTATTACTCCTGTCAGTGTTTTTGATCTTCACTGTAATAAGCATGCTTGAAAACCATCTGAGGCTACTCAAACAAGCCTTCAGCTAGACCTCCTGAATGAGAAATACTGGGGTAGGGTTCAGAGTATCTATTTTATAATAAGCCTCCAAGACTGAAAAAAATCACTAAATAAATACACGGATTTGCACTTGCCACATTAAGCACAGTTTAGTACCTGCGGAATGAGAGTCCTCCTTCTTGGCCTTCACATCTTTCTCTTCTGAGTCTTCACTAGAAGGCAAAGGGGAAAGGACATGTTTGAAAGCCTGACATTGAAGGATAGATGAACATAGGTCTGAGGTCTGACTTGAGAAGAACACCAAAAGCTACCTCTTCTATAAATAACATGCTCAAAGAGAGACTCACAGATGAAACTGCTTCCATTATTTGCTCACTTTACTGGGATGTTGGGGAATAAAACTTGTTTTATCTATATGGAAAAAAAATTGCACAGGAAAAATAATAGGTATCCCAACATAGGCCTGTTCATGAAGATTTAATAAGAAAAATATCCTCTACAGAGAGGTAGAAAATAAAATCACTAAAATAGAAATGAATCAATTTAATTATTTCCTAATAATTTTTGTCTCCAATATGAGTGAACCCAAGACTATTCTGCAGGGCCAGCCAGATAGCTCAGCAGACTAAAGTGCCTGCTTAGGCAGGTTCAAGGACTGAGGTTTGATCCCTGACATGCCATGCTGGCCCTGCCTGAGACGGTGAATGAGACTGGGCATGGTGGTACATGTCTGTAATCCCAGCACTTGGGAGGCTGAAAACAGGATGCTTACAAGTCCCATCTGTGTAGCGAGACCTTGTACTAAATACATTAAAAAAAAAAAAAAAAAAAAAGAAAGATCATTCTACAAAACAAGGAGTTTCAAAGTTCAATGGGAACTTTCTAAAAATAATATGTATCTATATATGTATAATGTTCTCAGTAAATCCTAACTTGGGAATCTAAGTTACAGTGTCCCATCTTTGTAACTAATTACTATGACCTCAGACCAATCACTGCGGTGCTCTTTAGTGCTAATCTTCATGAGAAAAGCTCACAAGCAACATGCAGTAGAAACCCCCTTCATAGCTTTTCATTCATTCATATTGGGGGGGGTACCAGGGGTTGAACTCAGGACCTTGCACTTGCCAGGTAGGCACTTAAGACACTGAGCTATTTATTTCCCCTGCTTCCATTCTCATATAGGTCTTATAAATTACTTTTGAAATTTGTCATAATCTAGACCATATTCAAAAGACAAATAGAATCAGAGATTCCAAACAGAACAACCAAAAATAAATTCATTCATTCACTCTCTGATACTAGGGACTGAACCCAGGGCCTTTGCTACCTCCCCAGCCCTTTTTGTTTTTTTGGGTTTTTTTTGTGGGACCAGGGATTGAACTCAGGCCTTTGTGCTTGCCTGGCAAGTGCTTATTCTACTGAGCCATCTCCCTGGCCCATTGTGTTTTGTTTTTTTTTTTTTTAATTTTAAGAAGGATCTCGCGCTTCAAATTTTCTGATCAAGAAGATTATGGAGCCACAGAGGAATGTGATCGATGATGTATAGTGTGCTTGGGGAGAGTCACAGGGAGAGAAAAAACATTCTCTCAGGCTTTCACAGAGAGCAAATTGGTCAAACAATGGCCATGACTCATCCTCATGGCTGACACTAACAAAGGATCTACAAAGTGCGGTACAGGGCTACAGGATAAATCCTGAGGGTACTTGACTGACCTTATCAGATACAAAAGTTACATTTATTGCTATATAGGTCTTACTT